TGCATACTTTTACCTTCTTTTTTTGTGCGAACGAGGACTTTTTTGGTCAAGGCACAAAGAGAACTAGTTTCACTAAATTATTTCATTGTGATTTGAAAATCTCGAGCTTAGATCATGCATTAAGTTTTTACGCATGCGAGGGTAAAACTGTTGTTATCAGTGCTTTCACAAACATGTAATGACAGAAGATGTGTAACAACCTAACATGGTACGTACCCTTCTCATGTTAACTTGCATATATACTTTTGTAAGTTTTCATTGTTATATAATTGACTAATTGCTACCATGAAAGAATTGACAAATTCCTGTAAAGTATATTAATTGGTTATAACTTATGTCTGAAGGCATGATAAAATATAAAATTTGATCGTTTAACATAAAATTAATCCTACTCTATTAAATAATAATTTTTATTTTTCATTTATTTGATTACATCATTTAAAATTAATTTTTATCTATTATTTTTTTAAAAATAACGTCAAAGTTTTCTCAAAATGTATAACGCGACAAAATTTTTTCAACGCGTGTACATTATTGTGTATGGACAATGTATGAAACAATAATTATATTAGACTACAAATTAATCAAATATTAAATAATTAAACGTATGATAGAATTGGGTGATGAAATAGTTTTTTTTTTTGGGGGGAGGAATATGTGTAAGATAAAAATTCAAACTTCTAGATGTTTTATTATATAGATAATACCAAACCCACCTAAAAAAAAAAGTTAATTATAATTTGTCCCTTTCAATTATGTCTCTTGTTGTAATTAGTTTTCACGTGTTCAACCCAACATTAATACACTGCACAATACCATGTTCGTACCCAAAAAATATACTGCACAATCCAACACACACACACACACACACAAACACACCCCACTCTTTTCGGGAGTAATTGTGTATTTTCAAAAAAGTTGGGATTACGTGAATTTTTCATGTTTAACTTGCGTCCTTTTTTATAGTCTAAAATTAACTATTCAAATTAATTATAAAATATTCAAACTTCAAGAAGGCTATTTACTGAAATCAAAACCTATGGGTGTGAATGACAAACTCCCCAAAGTTTGAAGGGGTATTTTAATTAATTCAAAAAAATAGTTTGCTTCATTTTGATTCTCAATATTTTAATTATATTATTTTAGTTCCTTAAATATTGAATATATTTTTATGTGATCCCTCAAGAAGACAACATCCGAATTACTAACATTTTTTTATCATAAATTTATCACGAAATACATAAATATGGATAAAAAATAATTTGGATAGCTCTTGATAAAAAATATATAATATGAGCTCTTGACCAAAAGTTGGGTAGCTCTTAATAAAAAATGTGTAATATGAATAACTCTTGATTAAAATTTGAATAGCTCATGATTCAAATTTTATAATTTGGATAGTTTTTTGATTAAAATTTGGATAGAAATTTGGTCAAGAGTTATCTAAATTATTTTTTGTCTATATTTAAGTATTACGTGACAAGTTTATAATAAAAAATTATTAATAATCTAGACATTGTCTATTTGAAGGACCACATAAAAATATATTCAATATTTCAAGAACTAAAATAATACAATTGAAATATTAATAACTAAAATGAAATAAACCTCGTGCTTTAGAAGACCTCCACTACAATTAACAAAAAAAAAAAAAGTATATTAATAGCATGGACCATGTAATTCGAAAGACTTACAATTCCCCCCAGAGCCGGGGGGGGGGGGGGGGGGATAAGANGGGGGGGGGGGGGGGGGGGGGGGGGGGGGGGGGGGGGGGGGGGGGGGGGGGGGGGGGGGGGGGGGGGGGGGGGGGGGGGGGGGGGGGGGGGGGGGGGGGGGGGGGGGGGGGGGGGGGGGGGGGGGGGGGGGGGGGGGGGGGGGGGGGGGGGGGGGGGGGGGGGGGGGGGGGGGGGGGGGGGGGGGGGGGGGGGGGGGGGGGGGGGGGGGGGGGGGGGGGGGGGGGGGGGGGGGGGGGGGGGGGGGGGGGGGGGGGGGGGGGGGGGGGGGGGGGGGGGGGGGGGGGGGGGGGGGGGGGGGGGGGGGGGGGGGGGGGGGGGGGGGGGGGGGGGGGGGGGGGGGGGGGGGGGGGGGGGGGGGGGGGGGGGGGGGGGGGGGGGGGGGGGGGGGGGGGGGGGGGGGGGGGGGGGGGGGGGGGGGGGGGGGGGGGGGGGGGGGGGGGGGGGGGGGGGGGGGGGGGGGGGGGGGGGGGGGGGGGGGGGGGGGGGGGGGGGGGGGGGGGGGGGGGGGGGGGGGGGCATACCTCTATATCTTCAACGGGCAATGCTATAAGGACATTATTTGGAGATTTAATTATTGGTTTCAATGTAGATTCTCTCAAGTACATTTTTCTTTAATAAGAGATTATTCGTCACCATAGCTTGTATTATTGTAAATGACATTACAATAATGCCTCTAAATAATCATCTTAGACCAAACAGTTTCGACTCAAACAGGTTGGACCTTGAAAAAGCAAGCAAGTACACCATCTGGTTTCCAAACTTTTCAGAGCACATGGTGATGGGTCAGATGGGAAGCCATTGAAAAGCCTTCATGTATCCTTATTCCGATGAATACATAAGAGTAAGCTTGCACACTTATCCAACAATACGATTCATCCATTGATTCATACCCACTTTTTTTATATCAAGTCTTTTCATCAACTATATTTTATCTAATATTATAATTATAAAGTTGAATTTTTAATTTATAATAGCTTAATAATAGTTAAGATTAATGCAATTTTTTCCTATTTTGATCTAATGGTATAAAATTCATCCTATTTTTTTTTATTTGCTCAAAAACATCATTAGATCTGCACAACTTCTATTTTTAGATAACTTAATCAAAAGACTCCTTAATGTCAAACAACTCTATTAATCCACAGTTACAATTCGCTCTTCTCTCGCATTTCTCTTTTTTATTTTCTCTTTGTTTACTTTAATTTTAAATTCCATGATTAAAGACAATAAAAAGATAAATTATTACTTAAAATATAAATATTACACGATCAATCTTCAATTTTTAGTATTATAAATATCTTCTGACATGAATTTTCTGCTTGTTGATTGATATTATATCACACCAAGTGTTTGTGCATGTGTATCTGTGCATGTGTTTTGTTCAAAATGTTTGAGGGGCTACTAAGCTATTTCCCTTTGGAAAGCAATTTTCATGGGGCTCAATGAGCCAACTCAACCCCACCCCCATCGCTCCCCCCAATCCTTCTTTCTTTAATATACATTGGTATAACACAGCACATTTATCAATCAATTATTACAGCTTAGTAAGACAACGTGATACCAAAAAAGAAAAGAAAGTATGATAGAGGAAAAAACATTGACAAAGAGGTGAAGAGAAATTCGAAAGAAAAGTAAAATAAAACTATCAAATAATGGGACATGAGTAATCAAAACGTGGAAATAATTTCCCTATTGGGTTCCAATTTTATAATCCACAATGTAAAACTTGCGACAAAAAATGAACACAAAAGAAATTTTTTGTTGTGATAACATTTTTTTTATGAACACATATAAGGAGATATACACATATTTTAAACATACTTTACCCAATATAATATTGCAGTCGTAAGAGCTCAAAATGCCTTTAAAGAGTTTCTTCTTCTTCTTCTTCTTTTTTTTTCTCTCTCTCTCTCTCTCGGTATTATGGTTAGGGGTGTCAAGTCAATTTAAGCACACTAATTAGAAAATTCACGACAGATAAATCCCTTATAGATTGGTCCCAAAGCAATTGTCAAGTTTAGAATTCAGGATATGAGGGTTTATAGCTCATCACTATCTCCGCTCCTAGCAGTTAAGATAATGACTTCGGACATGGTCAATTCCTATAGTGTGACAAGCAGTGTGTATAAGGCCCGGGAACAAATTCATTGCCATATGATTGACCTTGGGTTTTTTATTTTCTCTCTTTATGGTAGTATGCACCAGAGTCAACTTAATGACAATACCCATTGAAGTTACCGCTTTAAACCCCCGAATTTTTAGGACTCCATTGGAAGGAGGTTTAATTAAGTCTAATGTTATTTTTAAGATTTCAAATACTTTTTTTCGATCAATATTCAATTAAACCTAATTTTATTTTTAGTATCCCAAATCAAATTTTTGGACACAATAAGTTTAATTTTATTCCTAGATTCCAAATAAAATTTTAAAACTCATGTTCAAGTAAGTCTACTTTTATTTTGAGGGCCCAAAAAAAATTTGAGACTCAATTTAATTAAGCTCAATTTTGTTTTTAAAGCCTCAAAAAGAATTTGTATACTCATTTTTAATCAAACCCAAAGTAGTTTTTAAGGCCTCAAAAAATTGGTAGAATTACAATATTATTTTTAAGACCCATACACTAATGCCATACTAATTTCTTTTATAATAATTTTGTTTAGTGATGTGATATATTTTTAATATACTGCTACCAACTACTTTATGTAGCTTGAAAATTATTTCATTTATTTATTTTAATAAAATTCAATAATCTTTTGACAAGTTGGATTTCTTTAGATTTGATTTTAGTTTGTTGACAATTTGTTTATGTTGTTAATGACAAACATAAAACACCATTTGAACCAATGACCTTTGGTCCAATGGTACTACTTGACTTTGACTTGTGAACCCTTTGCCTTCTTGAGGTCAAATGTTCAATCCCCTTTCCCCTCGCCCCCCCCCCCCCCAGAGGAATCAAACGAATGAGATTTGATAATTTTTTTTTGAGCAATGTTATTTCGATTCTAAAGTTGAAATCATTCGCCAACTTCATGAATTGCGGTTGTTGATTTAATTGTGGATCCGAACATTTATTAAAATCTATTATCTATATAATAATTGTAATCGATTAAGTCAACAAATAGGGTTATCGTATGAAGTTCAAATAACATTTTACAGTTGTTTTTTTTTGGTTTTTACGAGATTTGATGCGCATGTGTTCCTAACTCATAATAGTCCAAGTATACGAAAATCTCCAACTCATAGCCTGAACTTGGGGACCATGAAATGGATGTTGAGGGCACCGACCCTATTCTGGGTAGGGCAATAGACAAGAAGGTTATGTAGGACCCAGTGGATCTGACGTCGCACTTTGCAGAGTTGGGGCCTCCACAATTATCAAAGTCATCATATTAATATAATATAAGAGTCTACTAATAAGATAATAAATAGACAAATGAATTCTACAAAATTAAATAAATATTCATCAATGTCACGTAATAACTAATGTATAAAAATAGGATAAACTTTATTTATTTGATTTTTTTATTAGATAGTCATACAATTTTGACGTGATGACATGATGTGACCATGATGTGACCATAATATTCAATATTTACTCTCGAGGGCAACCTCTCTCTATTCCTATTTAATAGTAATTTAATTTTTAAAAATTATAATTTTAATCATAAATTTTTTAGATCAAACATGTTTTTTGCAATTATAACTTATAATTCAAAAATTATAATTTTTTTAAAAAATAAATTATAATTTTGGGTACCATACTAAGCTTTTTCTCTCATGGTGCTGACTGTAACATTGCGCTCTCAAGTCGCAATCATATGTGGGTTTGTTAGACTTATTATATGTGCCAATTTGGCCTCTTCAAATCGTCATAGGTAACTGAAGAAATTCCAAAATGAACGCCCAAATTGGCTCAGAACTAGCAACTCGGGTCTGTGTAATCCATGCATATGATCAAACGTGAACAATAGTATATGTTCTCATTTAGGGTTTCAGGCTCTCTCTATATCTACATGCATAGATGCCCATAATCTATGTTGTGGTTACTGTTAATTTAACAGTTTCATAAAATAACTTATTTATAGTTAATTAAGTCATAAATTAAGAGAGAGACAGAGAGGGGAGGGGAGGAGAGGAGAGGAGAGGGAAGGGGGAAGGGGGGAGGGGGGTGTTAACAAGGTTACAAGAACAAATAAATAAACACCCACCTTTATCTTTACAGTCTCATCCTCTTTCTCTCTCTCCAACTCTTTTAGTGATGTGATTTTCCACAATAAACCCATCAACTTTTACAAAGGAGAAAGAACAAGCACACCATGGTCTTCTCATCAGTTCCAGTCTATCTTGATCCTCCAAACAGGCAACAAGCAAGGGCTTCTACAGTTATACAAATTCTCTCTCTAGATTCTTTTCAGAAATAAAGCTATAAAAAAGAAATATTCATGTTCTCTTTTTCAATCTGTGCTTGAACATACCCAAAATTTGATTTCTTTCACACATGTTTACAGGAAGCAAATCAGCAACCAGGAGGTGCCAATAAGAGTCCTCACCTTCCGCCACCTCCCACCGTTGGAGCTGGTGGTGCAGCCTCGATCAGGCCCAGTTCGATGGCGGAGAGAGCCAGACTAGCCAAGTTGCCTCAACCAGAGGCGGCGCTGAAATGCCCACGTTGCGATTCAACGGATACAAAGTTCTGCTATTTCAATAATTACAGCCTATCGCAGCCCCGCCACTTCTGCAAGGCCTGCCGGCGGTACTGGACCAGAGGTGGTGCACTGAGGAATGTGCCGGTCGGAGGAGGTTGCCGGAGGACCAAGATAAGCAAAGGCCGTAGATCGAAGTCCCTTATTACAGCCCCAAATAGTGCAGTTTCGTCTGATAATTGCACCCGTACTGATATAATGGGTCACTTTTCAGCTGCACCATCACAATTACCCTTGCTGCCTTCTTTACATCATCTTACTGACTTCGGCGATGGTGATATAGGGTTGAATTTTGGGAGTATCAGGCCTCCATTGGCGGTGATGGGTGGTGAGTCTGGTGACACCGGTGGCGCTGATATGGAGTTCCAGTTAGCTCGACTTGCTGATCAATTAAGACTGCAGCAAGTTCAGCATTTTCCTTTCGTCGCTGGCTTGGAACCACCAAATGGGTTGTACCAATTTGAGGGTGAAGGTGTTGTGCCACCATATGACGTGGTGGGAGCCACCGCCACCGCCACTGCTGCGGCTCAGCTTGGGACTAAGCCATTTGATTCTGGGGTTAATTACTTGGTCAGCTATAGTGAAGTTGGAAGACAATCAAGGCCTGAATTTATCAGGGAATTTTTGGGTGTTTCAGGGAATGATCTTCATCAGTATTGGGGCGGGAATATGTGGACTGATCTTTCTGGTTTCACTTCTTCTTCGACCAGTCATCTCTTGTGACGTAGTTTCTCTCTCCCCTTCTCAAAACCCTAACAGGTCTATAGAAGAGTAATTAGCTTGGAAAGATTGAAGTTTCATTCGACCTCCGTTACTTTTAAGCTAAATTTCAACCTCAATTAGTATAAGGAATTAAGGATGGTGATATGAACCGGGAAGATCAATTTACTTGTTTCTTCAAAATCAATGGTAGAAGCATAGTTTCTTGTTTCGTTCATTTCATTGGCAAGCCTATGAATTCATGTATTTCACCAAGTAAGATGAAGGCCAAATCAAATTGCATTGTATATGACTTGTCTTGAATTGGTTTTATGGAAGTGTATTGTTAGCATCTCTCTCTCTCTCTCTCATTTTTAGGTTGAACTCACAAATAATTCAGGCAACCTTATGCTTGTGGAAGAAGATGAACAAACAAGGGCAGATCATTTGGTCGAATTGTTGCTCTTCTTGTTAATTCATATGGGTTTGTGGTAGAAGAAGTTGATGATGTAATCAGTTCTTTAGTCTTTGTCTTGGTGTGACTAGCTAGGTCATGATCATCTTGTTCATGGATACAAACAACTTAATTTGTGTCCATGTTTGGCTAAGACCTAAGAGGGGTTGCAGACTTGCAGGACTGATCTAACCCTCTTCATTAATTGTACGACTCTGAGTTAGCACGCATTTGGACGAGAAGTGCAAGTCCTCAAACCAGTTTCATTTCCGTATGGTCAGTGTGTGTGACTCTCACTAGTCACCTCCGTGCTTGGCTATGAAAAGTAGCAACAGAAACTAAGCCACACTGACTGCATTAACTGTGAGACATTCGCATACCCCGCAACTCTCTCTCTCTCCCCCCCTATCCATTGTTAAAGTTTCAGTTCATCGAACTTGATACGATCAGGTCTTGTGCGATTCATATTTTTTATGCAAGTTGGCCAATTTATATAAATATTTCTGAATAAACTTGACGTTATTAAATCGGTCAATACCTCTATTTGATGTCTCGATATGGCGAGAACTTATCATGTTTAACTTTTTCTAGTTACTATCTCACACATAACAATCCTTATTATTCCATGAAGACAAGCTCGATGCGTCTCACTGAGTCAATGGTGGATACACTGAACTGGAATTATCTCTCTCACTATCGGTTGAACAAAAGCACAGTACCTAGAAACATAATGTTTGACCTGCTTTTCTCAGGCCAACAGTAATCAATTTCCATCATGTGTGGCTGTTTTCAATGGTTCAGTGTTTTCCTTGTGGAAGAAATTAAAACAAGGTACCATGCTTCGGTTCTTCAACATAAAGCTTCAAAGTCGAAAGGTGTCATTGCTGACGGACCCCTTCAGCCTCTTTAATCGCTTATATGGAAATCCCAAAATTTCAGATACCTCCATGTCTCATACTTTTTTGAGAATTTTTACCTCAGGTTAGTTATTTTTACTCGCCCGAAAAAACTGTTCAACATTGATCTAAAAGTTTAGGTCACACGCGTGTGGAGAGAGAGAGAGAGAGAGTAGTTAGATAATTTTTTTTTAGCTCAACGGTGAAAAGAGTTTAGGTCAATTTATGTATATTTTGATTAATCTCCTCCTTGATCTGGTCAAAGACAAACTATCCATATCGAAACTAAATTATTTATAACAGATAAATTCCTCATAATTTGACTTCAAAAAATTAACAAAATTCGAATTCAAAACACACATCTCTGTTATCACTTGAATTACCCAAAAAATTGTAATATTAGTTTTGTGATTGCATTATTCTTTGTTAATTATAAGAGCATACGAACCTAATTATTGTCTGGGGTAGTATGTTTGTGCCTGTGTGTGTGTGAGAGAGAGAGAGAGAGAGAGAGAGGGAGGGAGAGAAAGAATAAGAACAAGAAGAGAGAGACAGAGGTGGACCACAGGAAGGAAGTAATAAAACGCCAAAATATCACTCAAAACCACGCCAAAAACTAAGCCGGACTCTGGAATGAGTAATTGAAAATTGATGATACAAGATCAAAAAATCTCTCATCTGTCTATATATATTCTTGGTACGATTCTTATCCCTAATTTTATTTACATTCTTAATATGGAGTAAATATTGAATGTATCAGTGATACCATATAATCACCGTCACTATACAATAGTATAACAAGTAAGCAAGTACAATCCCCATAATAGTATGTAAGTTCACCTTGCCCAGTCATAAGTTTATTATTAAATGATAATACTATATGACGTAAATGTTCGTAGTATCACCCTTACACCTAATATTTACTCCTTAAAAAAATTGTTAAATTTCAATCTCCTTCCAATATTGATTTACATTCATGCAATATATATATATAGTATTAGTCCTTTCCCGAAAAAATAATATGTATATAATCCTTTTTCTCAAAAAAAATTATTGTTTTATTTTTAAGTCATTTAGATCCATATGGGGTTGGATGATTTGAGAGACTGAATCTCTGATTTGGATTTGCTTTTGCAATTCCCAAGGAACATTTCCTAAGGAATAAAGCTATCAAAACCAAGAAACCAACATTTGAAAAAGCTAGGCTATGTTTGGTTTGAATCTTCGGGTTTTTGTTTTCAAAATCTTAAAAATTTTTAAAATCTATTTAGTTAATATTTTTGTTCTTAAATTTTTGGGAAAAAATAAAATTTGGAGTAAAAAAATAGAAAATAATCTAGTGTTATTTTCGGTGTTTTTGACTGAAAATTTTGAAAATACGGAACACAAAATATTATTCACTCCTCTTTAATGAGATTCACCCATCAAACTTTTTGAGCAACAAAATGCATTTTTGTTTCGTTGAAGTATAAAAGCCCTTCACTGTGCAATGAGGACCGGAGCAATGAAGATCACTGCTATGTCGTCAGAGTTCTCTTTCCACTTCGACAAATTCAGGCGAAACACAAACACATGATCTGAGTTCAAGAACTTTGATGATCTTCGGCGTCTTCTCCATCATCTCTAGTGTCTTTTTTTTTTCTACATTTGGGTTCAAGACACACACACAAATCTCCAGCGTCTTCTCTATTCTCTATTTGTGTGCTCAAATTTGTATCTCTCTCGCAACAATTGAAGCCTCAAATCTACACATATTTGAAGCACAGATCTGTGCATATATAGATCTATGTACACATCTGTGTGTGTGTTCTTGTTTGTGTCTGTGGATGTGTGCCTCTGTGTGTGTGTTTTGTAAACACAGAGAGGGGAAAGAAAGATAGAGGTGGGAATTGTGGATTTTGTGAATTATTGTCCAAATAGATTTTATAATTTTTTATTCTTTAAAATTATTTTTAAAAATATATAACTAAATAAGTTTTGTAATCTAAAACTTTCAAAAATACTTTCTTAAAATTTTTCTCAAAAATTATTTTCAAATACTATTTTTTAAAATACACCAATGAGGCCCTATTATCTCTCTCTTCCCTCCTATCACACACAGACACACAAGTTGTGCACCAGTGTTGAAGATTTTTTTTTTTTTTTTTTTCTGGTCAATGGGTCATGCTGTACTGTTATAGTGATCCCAAAACTGTCAAGGTAATAGGGGGCATCTGAAGAAAGGAAAAGTTAAAAGCAGAGAAAAGAAATGGAAGAAGAAGAGCTGAGAAAGATAAGTGCTGGTGTTTGTGTGAATAGATGTTGTACAGGCGTGTAACGTTCTCTCTATTTCCATGGCAGCTTTCGCTTTTGAGATCTCTCTCTCTCAGAGGCCTCCCTTTCTTCCACATCTCTCCATCAATCATATATGCCAGATTCTTGGCCATTTCGGTGGCCCCTGAATCCTGGTTGAGATTGTTATCGGAAGAATTGTAATTCTATGATACCTCAAAAAAAGGTATCTTAAACCTTATTATATTAGACCGGTGGGGTACATCCTACTTCAATCTTGAGTGTTGAACCATAGGTTCGGCACAAGAGGAATCCTTCTTAAACTCAGTTCGCTGTCAGTTTGCAAACCGTAGATGGGTGCGACCTACTAGAGGCTCGTGCAAGAGGTTAATCAAAATAAAGAACCAATAGAAAAGAAAAAAAGAGGTTTGTGATGATTTTTAAATTTTTTCTACTAGGTAATCTAGTACACTTATACATGAAGATAATTAATTTGGTTGTTGTGGTCCGACTCTATTATGGATTTTTGACCACATTTTTCATAGGGCCCTTTATTTATTCCTTCTCCGAGTTCAAATTAAGGAAGAAAAAATAAAGAAAAATGTATCAACAACAATTGATTTTATTACGGGACAACTCATGATTGATAAGAAATAATTGCACAATAATTATTAGGGGATAGAGACACTGTTTTTGTCACTTCAACAAAAGATTATCTGCTCCATGCCTAAGCTAATCTGTTTCTGCAAAGATTGATCTTAGTTAAAAGGTGATATGGACTGTAACCCAAAAACCTTATAAAATTTGTTACCATTATTAATATTATTATAATTATTGTAAAGTTCAATTACTCCAACTTTCTGGTGGACGGAATATTCAAGTGCTTGGACGCCATTGTCTCTCTATTCATATTCCCATGCTCCAACCCTAGGCCTTTACAATCAATATGCAAACATCCAAACCGCTCAAATTATCAATCAATATTGCAGGTACAATTTGGACGCGACACTATTATAAATAGAATATATCATTACTAAAATATAATCTAAATGACAAAGGACTAGAGTTGGTGCATACAACGATACAAGCTTGCATCCTAGGATTTTTTTACATTGAATCTTTCAATTCAAAGCGCATTTACCTGTGGTATACCTGGTCCAAGTCTTTCATTTGAAGTATTTTCTCAAGCCTTAATCTGGCCAAACTAGTTCTGTTTAGCTGGCTTGGTTTCTTCCTATGATGTTTGTGATTTTGTAATTTATTTTGGTTCATTTTTATCACAATATTTTCTAGGAGCTTTATGAGTGCTACCCGGGTTTAGTTCAAATATTTTGATTGCGCAAGTATTTGTTATGTCCCGAACTATGAGAATAGTATTATACATCTATAGTCTTTCGGTTTTTGAAAGTTCTTATTTTTTCGTAGAATAGGTAGTGTCAATAAGCGGTCTCCTTTTGAGCTTTGTTTTAATATTTCTTATTTTTTTCAGAATAAAATCCATTTAGCAAAAGAAAAAATTAAGTCTAAATGAATGACTATTGCAAAATTACGAGAAACAAAACCCGAAAGAGTAGGAAAATACTATCCCAAACAAAGAAACAAAGAAGTGCATAATACAACCCTCAAAGACAGCAACAAAGAGATTAATACTACTTTGGATTTGACAA